TATTTTTCGACAAAGGATTAGGCACTTTAGCGTGAGATTTAAATCTCTCGTATGCAGGTTTGATTCGTTCCTTTAAATAACAACATATCATAGATTTGTATAAATCTATATAGAATTCGCGCGCGGTGAAGATGCATATTTTTTCATTTGCGAAGTGTTGATTGAGACCAAGTCTCACTTAAAGGGCGGCTTAGACTTAACGCATTAACGAAGTAGTGTCACCGAAGCAGCATAATGTATACGATTCTAGAAATTGTACAGATATCTATATATACATACACATATATATATATATTTTTTTTTCTTTAATCGCGATTTATATATAAAGTGAACAAGTACAGCGAATCAATGTGATGATCTATTGACCATCGGCAGATGGTATATATTATTCCTACCACTGGGAAAGTGCACCAAGCAGTACACGCGTGGCTGCACAGAATAAATTATATTAACTTTCTATGTATAGTGTCTTATTTTTATATGTCCTTCCTTCCTCTCTTTTTTATCTAATGTTATATTTAATAATTCATTCATGGAATATTTCCGTGATCGGAAAGATAAAAATGATTTCTTCAACTGCAAAAATATCAAGGTTTAAATTATAAAATAAATTTATCAGTTGAATTGTTAAATTGATCGAAATCATATCAACTGTAATGAAAACGTTATATTTTTATATACAAACAAGAGCTATCTACAGACATGCGTGTTGATTTGTTATAATAATGATGTTGCTTATCACTGTTTAATTTGTATTTTTCTGCTGATCCTTCGTTTGCAGTGTGTTGTTTTCACTTTCATTAGAATCGATATAGAACTGCTCCCTTGTGGAGGACATTAATTTGAACACTACCGGAATTATAGTTAATACGGGATTCTTCTCTTGCAGACATCGTATCCAGGATAACAATGAGTCTTTTGTGGATGTACCAGTGGCGCACATTGCAAAATATGTACCATCGTTTTGCTCATGGACTGTAGGTGCAAGAATTATTTCTTTCTTATCCCAGAAAGGTATTCTAATATCTGAAACATCTATTTAAAAAAAACCACATTAGTATTTTTCTAAAGCTTTATTCGAATACTTGGATAATTAATATAATATTAATATTAATAATATTAAAAACATGATTATGTCATATAATAATAATAATAATAATACTAATTTATACAAGACTTTTGCAATATCTGAATGGTAATTCTTATGAATTTTTAACTGTTAAAAAAGAATATAAGGTTGAAAAAGTTTTATCACTCATAGATTTTGAAAAAGGATTTTTTTTTAAATTCCAAACTTATATATCTCAACTCTGGATATAATTATTTACAAAAATTAGTAGAAAAATTTTCCTTTAAGGTAGTGATTATTTACCATCAGGATCTTGATAAACATTATTCTTCTCTTTAGTTGCTCCCTTTAGAATAAAATAATCTATACAATGATCTGCAATCCAAACTGTATACGGTCCTTCGACAAAGATCGGAGTATCCAGAGGCTGCTTTCGTAATAGTTCCTCCTGCAAACTACTCATCACAGATACGATCCACGTATCATCGATGGCATCCTCCATATCCTTGGTCTTGAACTCTGTGATTTCGGTCTGAACGTCTATACTGGATATCTTATTCATAGCCAGCTTGGCAAGAACCTTCGGATCCTTGGGCACTGGTGTGGGATAGGGCCATGGATTCAAATTAGCGAACTTGGGCATCCAGTACATCATCCGCCAGAACTTCTTCAACACCAGGGCTTGCATCCCGAAGATATTCAGCAGCATCTCCTGCATCTCTAAATCCGGGATCACACAGTTGTGCTCCATCTTGCAGAGCAGGTCGATGGCGACGTGCTGCTGCTTGGGATAGTGCATAAATATGGTCTGGAAGTAATTCCGGGGAACGAACTTGCCCTTAGGTAGCACGTCTAGCACGGCCTTGTACACCGCCAGATCGCGGTTCACGCCGAACTCGTCCATGTACTTGAGGGCGACCTGAATGAACTCCACATGGCCGCGTCTCATTTCGTTGTTGGTCTTGTACTCGCGCAGGATGTCCAAGTAGGCCTTCCGTTCTCTGCTCTCGGCGTTCGCGAACACATGGAGTACGAGGCCTGACGGCTTGCTGTCCTTCTCATCATCTTTCTTGCACCGTTCCTGGCTGGTGTGAATAGCGCGACTCAACGACCGGCCTTCGACTTTGCGCAGCGGTTGCCGCAACAACGCGGTGGCACTCGATGCGAGGATGGTCCGGGTGATTCGCGAGAGCATGTTGATCGACTATTCTCTAACACGTCATCGTTGAACAATTAATTCGAATTTTACTTAACTGTATTCACAAAGTTTACGAAAATCTCACATCTCTACAAGGTTATGATGCTCCACAGATTCTAACCTGAGACCACCTAACCTCTTTTTTCATTCTCCTCTTTCATTTTGCGCTTCATTTCAATAATTTGATGTCAAGCTGAATAACTGACGTATATTTCAAGTGCTTTTTTGAAGATGAAAGAAGATTTCGTACATTTTATTCTTTTCTCTTTCTCTCTTTGACATTTAGAAATATTTATTAATTTAATTCATTTTAATTGCAAAAAGTGTAATAAGTACAGTTACAAGGAACATTTGTAGAAAATCCATCGACTTCTCTTCGAGAGACGCACGATTTCAATAATATAAACTAGGCCGTGATAAGAAAACGACAGGTGTTTAGATTATGAAGATTTGACGTTTATTCGATGATATACAATGAGCGAAAACTTGGAGAATATTAACCCAAAGCTCTATAAGAAATTAGATGACCGAGAAATCACAGTCGAGGAGCAAGACGAGGATGTCGCGGATGAATTTGACGCGCGAGAGATTTTCGGTAAATATTCTAACCTTAAATTATTGATTTTCAATCAAAAATATATAGAATTGTTGATATATTTTTGTCCGCATATAAAATGTTCTTAACCACAAATAAATAATTGTTACTTGCGGTTATTAAACATTCATGTTTTTATTGATAATTAAAAATTGATAACATTATTGTGTTTGCTATAACAATTAACAACAGATTTATTCTCTTTAAAGATATCTCTGGTGAGATATCTTTAGAGAAAATTTGTCTCATAATTTTTATACAAATTGAAACATTTTTCAGAAATAAGAGATTCGGAAAGTTTACTTCTCTCAGAATTAGTTATTCTTCTCTCAGAATTTTTCATACAAGTGAATTCTGAAATATTTTGAAATTTTTCATAATTAAAAAAAAATATTTTTTAATTTTTTAGATTTTATAATACTTTGTCGGAAATTATATTTATTTACAAAAAATCTTAAATATCTTAGGATATTTTATAATTAAGATATATGAAAAATTCTGAGAAAAGATGTAGATTTTCTGAGAAATGTTCCAATTCGTATAAAAAATGTGAGAAAGTTATAAAATTATATAGAAATTCTGAAAAATTACATGAAAAATTGTGAGAAAAATTTTTACCAGAGATAATATACTAAATATATACATCATAAATTAAAGTGTTATATACATTCTCTATTATAAGTGCAACATAAAAAATTAATATTGACTATTAACTATTAATTTGCAGATATTATCAGGAACATCAATGATCCGGAACATCCTTTAACTTTAGAAGAACTGAATGTAGTTGAACAGAATCTCATTGAAGTAAAATATTTTTTTAAACAATATTGTACTATTGTATTTCAAAATTGCTTAAAACTCATCATTGCAGGTTGATGACAAGAGGAACAGAGTGGATGTAAAATTCACACCTACAATACCGCATTGCAGCATGGCTACTTTGATCGGTTTATCCATTCGTGTGCAATTGCTACGTGCCTTACCCTCTAGATTTAAGGTCAGTGTGGAAATTGCACCGGGTACTCACATCTCGGAGGCGGCAGTGAACAAGCAGCTTGCAGACAAAGAACGAGTAGCTGCAGCTTTAGAAAATTCTATGCTACTTGGCGTGATCAATCAGTGTTTGGCACCGAAAGATTAACAAATTGTATAAATTCCAACATTTTCATGTTCAACCTTCCATGGTCCAATCATGATTTTTTTTTACTTATTTCTTAGTTCAACTTCGATGCCATTATTATTTTTAAAGAGTTTTTGGGTTCTAAAAAATCTGAAAAAATCTTAAACTCTTTTAGCATTCAAGAATACAATTTTATTACGATTCGAAATGTTTTTCATTTTTTTTACACGTATCAAAAATTTGAGGCAGACTAATTCAAAATTGAAAATTTGCCTGAATCTTTTTCTTCAAATTCTCGGTTGAACCACAGAAGGTTAAAGTGACAGTTTGTATATAGTTTTGCTGTCATGTTTATATATTACAAAGTAATTTTTTAAGTTTAGTTTGTATAGTGAACGTAGAAAGAGTTTGCTGAAATTCTGTAAGAATCGATAGAATACAACTGATGTGAATAACGGATTTTAATTATAAGATTTAATATATATTTATAATATATAATTTAATATATTAAAAATACAAATATATTAAATTATGATATATATTATAAATAATATATTTGATATAGAAATATATCAATAATATTGATGTAAAACAATTCTTCGCTTTAAATTTAATTTGTACTTACTTTATAAATTTATTATGTATAGTTTACAAATATTAAACAGTGTTAATTAATGAAATTAATATAGATTTTAGAGATCCTAAATCGTTTCTGTTTCATTGAACTGATTTTTTTCTAATAATGAAATCTTTGTTAATTACATAGAATTACGAATCCTTTTTCACGATTAAAATTTACAAATTATTTGTTATTGACTATTTAAATAAATTTGAAAAATTAATTTTTATCTTTTATTTAATTACATTTTTGCTTTTTTCTCAGTTTTTAAAGTTTCTAAATTTTTTTTACTATCGATTTCCAAAAGGAATTCATAGAAACGCTGCTTGTTGTGCTTCAACACGTGATGAACGTCACGTGACTACTTGACCGAACATGGCGCCTCTGGTTGTCAGAGTGCAATGAATTTATAGGAATTTTCTGCTATTTTGCGTCTGACAGTTGACGAGAAAATGCCCGTTGATATTAATCGATTGACGGAAGGTTGGCTAGAACTAGAAAGTGACCCAGGTATGTTGTTAACTTTGAAATGTCTATCAATCATTTGTTAATGGAAATCTGATGTCCGGCTTAGAAAGTACTTTATGCTGTAAATTCGTAGCAATCAAAATTATAACACTTTCCACGACTATTCAGGTCTGTTCACGTTGCTCTTGGAAGACTTTGGTGTGAAGGGTGTCCAAGTGGAGGAGATCTATGATCTGCAAAAGTCTCTAGAAGGCCCGGTCTATGGCTTCATCTTCTTATTTCGGTGGATTGAAGAACGACGATCTAGGCGGAAGGTCGTGGAACAAGATGAGAGCTTTGTCAAGGACGAGGAGATTGTTAACAATATCTTCTTCGCCCAGCAGGTCTAGCACAGAGTTTCTACTGCTAGGTTGTCAAAAAAGTTCTAATTCATCCTTTGATTTTTACAAACCTAATTTATACAAAAACAATGACATTAGTTCTTAAAATAAAGGCCATTCAGTAACCATTTAGATCCTTAGACGTGAAGAACTCGTGATAAGCTACCTCAACTTGCTCAATCGTTGAATCATCCTTTGTATATAAAAACTAAGGAATGATTCAGAACTTTATTGATTGACAACTTAGTATATAAAAGATATATCTTTGTAATACAATATTATATAATTGTCGTAGGTTGTCCCCAACAGTTGCGCCACTCACGCACTGCTCTCAGTGCTATTAAATTGTCCGAATATCCACTTAGGCACGACTCTGTCACGATTGAAGATGCATACCTCTGGCATGTGTCCAGAGAACAAGGGTTGGGCGATCGGCAATACGCCAGAATTAGCTTGCGCGCACAACTCGCATGCAATGCCTCAGGCAAAGAGACGACAAGACAAGAACACTGGTGTTTCCACAGGTAGATTTACCGGCGAGGCTTTCCATTTTGTTAGCTACGTACCGATAAATGGTAGGCTGTTTGAGCTGGATGGCTTAAAACCCTATCCCATGGATCATGGACCATGGAAGGAACATGAAGAATGGACGGAACAATTTAGACGTGTCATAACTGATCGTTTAGGCATGGCAACTGGCGAACAGTTGCAAGATATCAGATTCAATTTGATGGCCGTGGTACCTGACAGACGTCTCGCTATTTCGCATAAATTAACGATGCTGAAGACCAACAGACAGATAGTCTTGGAAGCTTTGCAACAGTTGATGAAATTAAGTCATCAAGATGGCAACGTCGAGAAGAATTCGCATAAAGAGATTGATCCCGATAAAGAGAAGCAATATGAAAAAAAAAACAAGACCGAGGAAGAAAATGGATTGTCTAAGACGGAGATCGAAGAATCGCCCACGATTCCCACTATTAATGTTGAAAGAAATAACGATTCAGCGGTGGTTTTGGATGAATCGGTTTCTGGCATCGCATCTGGAAAAACCGAATCCACGTAAATAATAATCGAGTGTTTCATTCACATAACACACGTTGTTATCTCTAGTTTTACTACAATACTTTATTTGACTGAAGTTGAGAATAAGTAAGTGAAAATCGAGAAATATTCAATACAAATAAGCGAAGAAGGCCATATTTTGTTAAAGCGGAGGTTGATGTCTAATAATATTTTTGCGTGAATCTTACAATTTTCAGTTCAAGTAAACCACACGTTGATTATATTTGTTGGTCTTAAAAATATTATTAAACACCAACATTCGCTTTGACCAAATATAATCTTCGCTTATTTGTGTTGATAAAATTTAAGTTAATAAAATCATCGATTTTTTTGCTAATTTCAATTTTTTCTTTTTTATACTAAATATACAATACACAATATTGGAAAAATGTAAATGTATGAATATAATGCAAATAATTCTAACGATACAAATAAATCGGCGAGTCTAGTGTTAAATCTCGTAGGAGAGAATATAACAATTTGAAAGCTAAGCTTTGTTAGTTTTTTTCAATTAGAGAATATTCCGATATAATATATTTTATTTATTTATAACAAGTTCATAAAATTGTTCGGTGCTGCAGTTTCGTTGTAAGCGATTTATGTTTGATTTCAGTGGAATGGAGAAAGTGGTGATGTGCGCTCTGGATTATGCCACGCCGTTACGAATTCAAACTTCACCAGCTCACAGCTCGTCCAGTACAGATACATCATCAGAAATCGGATCGGCCTTCAACTCGCCCACTCAAGGTAAAAGAAAAAGAAAAAGTTACTTCACAGTCCATCGCACAGTCGTCTGATAGTGCACACCTTCTTGCTTTGGCAAAATATCAAGGCATTTGGACAGGTCATTCGGATTGATTTGATATCTTCGGAATCCGGCACATTGTAACAGATATAGTAATGAGAATCTGAAGCGGGATCTTTTATCTTACCAAGTTCTTGACACACTCTCTCCTCGGACTCTTCTTCATATATTGTACTTTTATCATCGGCATGAATATTCTCGAAGAATATTTCGTTCATAGGAAGCTTTACGTTGCTGTCGCACGTTTTCACACTCTCGATGTCGCAGATTCGTGAATACACATTGAAAGCCGTGTGTAGCGGACAAGAGTACTCCACTACGGTGGCAGTTTTTGGCTCACATGTGTAGTATCGATAACAATCGGTCTTATTCGGCAGACGGACGTTCCTCGTACACGTCACGACGCTAACGGTTCGTGGCGTTAATCGATGTGCCATGTTTTTGTACCGGTTGATCGTGAAATATTGTTTGTTTCCGAAATTATCGCTAATCCTTATTATGTTATTGTCAGAATCCAGCCTGTCGATTAGCAGCTCCAAAGCACTCACCGTTGAAACGGTGCTGTCTGTCGTTGCGACGATATTCATCTGAGGTTCATTGCTTCCCATCATCTCAGTTGGTTTGTCATTACTGTTATATAACTCAGTTCCTTCGGTATAGCTTTGCACGAGGTAATTCAACGATACGTTCTGTCTTTGATTATGAGACGCGAAGATAGTAATGGTCTGCGTTGGATTTATGGTTGTAGCGTCTTTTACAGGTATTGACAAAGAACTTGATATCGCGGCTGACAGCTCCTTGTAGACGTGCAATCGATTCATTAATTTGTTCAACCATTTGTAATGATTATCCACGATGTCCTTATATTCTTGCATCAAAGACAACGATAGTCCTTGGCTATTCGTGTACTTGTATAAATAATTCTCTTCCTTGTGATACGATGCGTTTCTCACACTTTTGTCGCTGTGCGTCATTTTGTCCAATTCTTCAAATTCGATCAAGGGATATGCGGTCATCGTCTCGGTCGTCGAGTCGTAAAAGTCATCGATCACATAGGACGAGTCAACTGTTTTGGAGAATTCTAAAGAATCCTCCGTATATCCTAGATAGCTGGTATCCATTAGATTGATTAGTTCGGATATCTCATGCTTCTTCGTTACAGGAGAGTCGGTTGAGAGTATATCGCATGTCCAGATATCACCAGGAATCACGCACATACGTAAATATGGTTGAAATACCTAAAATCGTATTTCAAACATTTGTTACCTTGATGAAAAAAAATATCTCATAACATTTTTAAGAATTTGTCGTATTTCAAATTTAGGGAGATTTTTCTGAAAAATACGTTAAATTTCTTAAGATTTTACAAATTTTCTTCAAAAATTAATGGAATGAGAAATATTATTCAATATATACAATATATTTCAGAACTCTCTTATATATAAAAAATTTTAGAAAAAAAAATATTTTCTCAGAATTTCTGAAGTATTTTAATTTGTACAAAAATTTTGAGAAATTTTCTAGAAAGTTATAAAAATCATATAGAAATTTTGAAAAATTTGGGATCCCACCGCATTAATTTTATGGAGAATTGGCTTAATAATAGGTAATTTTTAAACTGTAATGCATCAAAGGCATAAAATTTGTGCTCATTATCTTTTCCACATCATAGCTGTATTTAAAGTTTTTTGATAAAAAACAATGCTCTCCAGCAAAAAACAGTATAACGTGAATCATTACATTTTTTGTTGTTTGCCAATATTAAACAAAGATGGAATCAATCAATTTGTGTCTTGCTGGAAAGCGATAAAGATTATCCATTATTGAGATGTCTATGTATCTTTCTTGTATCTATGATATCTTTCGTTTACTACATAAGTTATGTTATATATGTGAAAATTAATTCATATCATCGAGACTCAATTTTCCATATAATTAGTGAAGGTCCTTTATAAAAGTTCTGAAAAATTATATGAATATTTCTATTCTAAGAAAAATTTCTTCGTCAGAGTAACAGTGCCATTAGAATTGGGAAGTCTCTCTGTTTGTTTTATTTGTTAACGCCAACGTTCTCACCAAGCCTGCGTTACACTTCGCTGGAACCCACACGTAACCGCCGCCCGGCAGATTCACGCAATTGTAGAAAATCGTGCAACTCGTTAGATGCGGCTTTTTTGATTCCGGACATCTCGAGGGACTCACCGGACAGATCAGGCTACACGCGAGAAGAACCGATACGAACCGCATCCCGTACCGCAACTGTTACAGACTGCAATTCGTGTGTCTGCCTTAAGACACTGTGTATCTTTCACACTCGTACATACAGTCATGCATCTCTGCGAGACATTTCGTTTCGCACCTTCCACGTACAGTTATTTGACCCGTCTGTTACAAATTGCCCATCTGCTAGTTTCTAGTTCAAATAAAATTTTGGAATGTTTTATGTATACAAAGCGGGAACCAGTTTTTAAATTATTAGCATTAACTTCGAATGACTAGAGGAAGATTTTTTAAAAATATCTTTGTATCTTCTAGCTTGGGGATGGAATTCTGGTCAGAGCAGCCCGACATCGACGAAGGATTTCAAAAAATTTGTGGTAATCAGAGTTGCTGGTGATGAGAAGAATGAGGCGGGTTTGAGTAAGTAGATTTATGCGATTCATACGATATTTGTCAATTATCTAACATCGAAATATTTTACTTCTACGCAGGTCGTTCTCTGGGAAATATCAATATAAACGGGAAAAGATTGGTTTCCGACAGTGGTCATTTGCATAAAAAGGTCTGTCTATCGGGTGAAGTCAGAATTCCTCACGCAAGAGTGAAAACCAGCAACGGCGACACAGTCACGGAGGAGAAGAAAGTTGAGAAAATCGATCCTAAACTGTGCTCCAAGTATCCAGAATTGTTTGAACCGCACACGTTCGCACCCAAGGATCTCTTGGCATTGCTGAAAAATTTGGAGCACGAGATCAGCGTGTGCGAGACCAGCTTGAAGGACGAAAACGACAAAAGAAATAAGTACAAGGTTGGTCTTATGCGTGTTACAAAGCGCTTGCTATTTTTAACAGCAAAGATTGCAGCCATAATAGCCATGATATCCCGTCCCATTTTTCACGCTTATAGATCATAATTTGTGCCTATAATTAATTGGTAAGCAAAATAAAATCAAGATTAATAAACAAGTGTAAGATATCAGGTTAGTAAAGAAATAAAATATTAAATTTATTCAAAACAATAATATAACACATTTCGACTCTATTTATAAAGAAAAGAGTATCCCTCTTATTTTGATGAGCTTTTAATATATTGTAATCTAGACTAAAATGAGGCACACATTTTTAGGGGGTGAAACATAAATTAGTTTCCTTTAAAGTGAATATCATCGAACTATAAAAAAAAAGTGAATATTATCGAACTATAAAAAACTGAAAAAACTTTTTCTAATAAAAGTTGAGACTACTTTATGATAATGATAAAAAAAATTCTCTTTAATAAAAAAATTTATTTGTAAAAAGGTAATTAAAATTTTTTTTCATCTTTACAACATATTAAGAAATAAATATCAAAAAAGGGATATTTTCCTGTTTCTTTTGTTAATCATCTGCAATCATGATAAAACGAAAAGATCAGACTTACTAATTGAAACATTAAAAATTAATTTAAACATAAATATATAAATAATTAATTGCTAATATTATCGACCACTTTATTCTTATGAAGTTAGAAATCATGTGAATCTTTCAGATCGATGATTGCCGGAGAACGCACAATTACGACGAATTCATTTGCACCTTCCTCTCGATGCTTGCTCAGCAAGGGAAACTAGCGGAGTTGGTCCAGCAACATTTAACGTTAAAGAAGCACTCTTCCGTTTCGGTGAATAGAGTTCACAGGTATATTTTCGCGTCTGATCGATGAATATTCAATTATTTATTTTGAATTCTTATAAAAAATTAATAGAAGTAATTGTTAAGTTGATCTGTTATATCAATTTCCTAAATTAATTACTTTACTGAAGTCGAATTTCAATGCATTTACAGATCATCGAAAAAATCAGATACCCGTCAGAACTCCTCACGCAGACGTCGTGGTAGAACAAAATGTAAAAAGCGAAAGTAATTTTTAACTAGCGTAGTTTTAAAGCTTAGGGCATTCCGTCTGTTAAGCATTATTTGGATTGTTATAATCCATGGGCATCCATGAAATCCTATAGAAACCACTTGATAGTTTTACAAAATCATGTAGAGGCCATATATCTATAACAGAGCGATTCTATCTAAATTATACGTGAATACTTCAGAGAGTGAATTTAGAGTCCGAAACAAGAAGCAAAAGTCACGCGAATGTAGCATTTTTTCTCCGAGTTAAAATAAATTAAAATATTTAAAATGTTTTTTCTATATTCATACGACTTTTTTTGCTCTCTGATTTCATATTTATTGTGCGGTATTAACGTTAAAAAATGCCCTGTATAATTTCTAAATATTATCTTTTCAGAATCAATGACTTATCGTTAGCTCGATATTTCTAGTTTTTTAGCAATGTATTTTTTAGATGATCATAGGAGTGATTTCAACTCAAATGCTATTACTTTTTATCATTCTGTACAAACTATTTTACAATGGCAAAGTATACATATATATATTTTTTATATTCTTTGTATAATCAGCTGTGTGGTGTTTAATTGTCTAAATATTTGTCTAGATATTTATGCTTACTTTT